GACTGTTGCATTGGGAAGAAATCGAAAAGTCTACGCACGTGCGGACGTCATATTGTTAATAAACGGCCCTGTTATTTCTCACCTATGCAACCGGTTCACGCTGGCCAGCGTGACCGGAATCGATTCATAAATAAAGAGATTCCAAAACGAGGAGTACATAATATACAAAACACCCTGGGCCAGATGGGAAGAGGATAGTGCGTGTATGCAGCGGCTTGCGCGTACGCAAGAGAGATGGAGATGGGGAAAAAAATAACACGAAAACAGATTTTAATCTTATGTCCGTCTGCGTTTTTGTGATGCTGTATGCCTGTACCATGGGGTATCGTCGACTGTATAGCTTGCGGGGGTCAATGACAAAAAGAGAGAGAAATAACAATCCATCCATTGTTAAATCTCAACGATAGTTGATTCACGATTGCATGTAACTGAACGATTACAATCGAAATAATATATAGACCGAACTAGCCAATTTGATGATCTGCAGCAGAGCTTATCGGAATCGGGGTCAGTAATATTATGGTCGTGATTTTAATACGACTAGGTATAGTCTATAACTGCTAATATTTCCTTTTGCGTATAGACGAACATTCCCATTTTTTTGTGCTGACAATGGCGTCATATAAATAAATATATATATATATATGTGTGTGTATTAGGTAGCTAAGTTATTTAATATGTGCCGTGAAACTAAATTTATGTAATTATAAGTTATACCTACTGACCGATTAGCACAACTATAAAATGTCTATTATCTATTAATAATTATTATTGTCAATAAATATATTATGTATATTATTATTTTACGTAGTAAATAGGTACTTATGATATTATATTATTAATTATTATAATTGCATTAAAAAGTTGAACTGTCATAAAACTAAATACAAGTCATAACAGCTTAAAAATAACATATTTTAGTATTAATAAAAAAGATTACTATTGTGCATTGTTAACTTGTAATCTTCGGTTTCTATAGCCCTGTCAAGAATTTAATAGCTATAATTATTATTGATCTCTCTAATAACTACAATACGACCCTTCGGGTTATTTTTCAGGACAGAGGTGTCAATACCTTTTGAACATGTGCTTTATTATCTTATAATGCATGAGTTATTGAGAGCTCAAGAATGTTTACAAATAATGATACAACTTAATACTTGTAACTTATAAGTATTTGACATTCAAAAACATCGACTATACGTATATGGCTATGTATATGAACGGCAATCGCAATAATGTTTAATACGTCGGTGTCTCACAACACAACTAACGTCATATTATAATAAAGCACAATCAAGAATTAATAGTTTTTTCTTCATAATACATGATTCGACTAATCAAATATAAAATAATATCAAGATACAAACTAAATAAAACAGTTTTTATTTTTTATAGGCATCATGCTCATATTAGTTTTTTGCGTCAGAAATGCAGACTGTAAGTAGATGTAAATCCGTCGTAAACGTTGTAATTATACAATCATGATTGTATCAATAGGTACCTAGGTCACTAAGCTCAGCGTGTTCTAAGAATTCTTACAATTAAATCAAATCAAACCGATAATTTTAGCTAGTTACAGAATACTGCATGTCTACAGAAATGCAAAATAGTATAAAATCACAAACCATGAGAAGTTATTTTATACCTTTCTTATCTACATCTCAATATACTCTAATGATTCGTCACAAATATCAACTGTAGTATAATATCTATGAGTAGATAAATCTTTGATGATAAATATACAACATGACTGAATAAATACAATGTTTATACTGTTCTATATTATATAGTTTTATATATTAATAGATAATACTTAAAGATTTTAACGACAATTGTGTATCACATACGAGTGTCGAGTAAAATATCTAACTTAGGCAATGTAAATAGTAAATAATAATACTTAATTATTATTTGTAAGCTTATATAAAATAATAGGATCTAGAATATTATCTATATGACCAATAAAGTAATACTATTATTTAACCCTTTACCTGAGGTTTTCAGCCATTAGAAAATAATTCACATTACATAAGTGCCTACTTATTGAACATTAAATTTACTTTAAATCAATTATTTTTACACTTTCTAAATAATGTAATGATAGCTATTGCATTATTGAAATATAGTTAATTACTGTTTATTTCTCTTTGTTCGATTTGTTTTCTTATTATAAAGCACACAACAAATCATTTGTATAGTCTAAATTACACATTTAATGAAAATATGACCAAAAAAAATTGGCGCCAAGTGTGGAAATTCTATTTAAGACTGATCGTAATTACCAATGGTTGGATAACTGTTAGGTACACTAAGTCCAAGTATAATATATGTTTTTTGTTGCACTCAATCACAAATGAATTTTTGTTTATTATAATTCAATAATTATCCTATTTATTGGTATACTTGTAATTGAAGTTTTTTACCACAACGACAAATTATAGATGTTACTACAGTTACTGCAGATATCGTAACTGAGGTACCTATGTCTTTTATAACCCCCCCACCCCCCACCCACCATTAAGATTCCAATTAAATAACATAATATAATTTTTTGTACATAAAACAATAGGTGATTTTTTAAGTACGCTCGTTCTTTTTTGAAGTATTCGTTAAATTATATTAAGTATGATCTTTTGCTTTATCAAATAAAAAAAAATCGATGTCTGGCCAATACGCTTCTAGCATTCAATATATTTTGGTGAACCCTGACACAAAGTGGGTAGTCAACAATTTTAAATATGCAGTACGAATTCAAGAAGTATATGTATACATACAAGTTAGATAAAATAAAGTTCAATCATTTTCCTTATAACAACAGTAGAATGAATGTGTTTTTCTGGAAGCCAATCCAAGTAAGAAAGACAATAAAAAGTCAAGTTTTGGATATATATATATATTTTTAATTGTATATTAATTATTTTGCATTTCAAAAGTATATTTTCAGTACAAATAAAGTAACTGCTAAACGTCAAATTAATGAGAATAAAATAAAAAAATAATATGCTGTAAAAATATTGGATAATTTTTACTTAATATAACGATTTGACAAATTGTATAAAGGGAATTGGGGAGGAAGAAGATCTCACTTCACTATAAAATAATAATCTGTACAAAAATATAAAAAAATTAACATAAAAAATAGGGACTGGCGTCTACATTACTAAGATTTACCATAGAATAATTCGATGTAATAAATTCATCTATCTATTAGGTACTTATCTAGATTGTAGATATACACACATTATACTATTATATAATATATAAATACAATCAATTCGATGTAACGCCAACTAAGCGTTAACCTAACTATATGCTTAACTCAATCTAGCAAGGATATACAAGGAAAAAAGTTATAGTAATATAGTTGTCTGCCTTACTGTCTTATTACCTTGAAGTGTCATCCTCCGCTCGTAATCCTCATGAAACGGGCGAAACGTTTTGTCGGACCGGATATTATGAGACTCGCAAGTACATAAGACATATAGTTCCGCTGGAAATTCGTAGTACTACTCACTTCTCTAATACTTAATACGCACTAGGAAACGTCAACAAGAAAACGGTCGGTTTGTTAGAGAATCGAACGGCATGACGTACTTACAGAAAAAAAACTGGCGACAAACGTGTTTGCAAAAGATTGACTGAAAATATCGTGGTTACCAGCTCGTAATTATACCGTATAGGTCATGGTTGAAATAAGATGGTTATTGCATTTAGACTAGGATTGTTATCACCAGATACAAAATGGCTGCATTAAGGGATATCACAAATATCAATTTTTCTTATCATCAAGAATACGGTGGCAAAAGCTAACAAATTCAAAATTCCAGCTTATATATACTTGATTATTATTGACTCCTTTTACGATACCATTTTTTTTTTATCATCAAATATTTGAATTTGTATAATATTTCAACCCGGGTCCAGTACAATATATGGTCATATAGACCGCGATCGTTGAATTTGTACCGCAGTCGTAGCCTCGGACCGCGGTCGACGATGCTACCATGTACATGGTTAGTGTTTTTTTTTTGCGAACGGGTATAACTATACGATATTTTCCATTGGTCAGTCTAAAAGGAAAACAGTGATCGTCGGCCGTTTTCTATACTATAGACCAATACAGATATATTATTAAATTGGTCTATGATTTCTACACGACTGCGATCTGCCGCACCGTCCAATTCTCTGTGAATCACGACTAATCCGATTTCGTGTCACCGTTCGCGAATGCGATGGCATTCCGGCGAAACGATTTCATACATACCAAAGTATATTTGAGTCTTCTGGAACGACGAAACTCGTTGACCGTTTTCCAAACATTACGAACCTAGTTGGGTAATAGGGTAGTTCATATAAGACGCAAATCAGCCACTTGCGAATGATTATTAGGTTCCTCATACTCGAGCTCATACTAGGATGATATTACGACCGTTATTTAGAATTTATCATAGTTTCACATCATTGCCTATGATATATGTTTACTACTATCTTGCGTGGATTGGTTAAATCCAAATAAAACCTTTACAAAATAATCACGAGATTGCTAAAGATATTTTTAAAAAATTGTACCTAAAGAATAAATATACTTCAACATTTCAAAAATCAGAATATTATACTTAAAGCGTTGAGGATTTAGCATACTAAAAAAAATCGTCCTTTTATAATACACAGTAAAAATCAGAGATGTATTTTGGACTGGAGGAAAAAGTGCAATTTACTAGACTGGCCCATTTTTATATGGGCTATGCCGCTATGAACTGTTACAATTTAAATACAATACGTCAATACAACATATATATATATTGTAAATTAATTTTTATTGTGAAAAATGTATTTTATTTTATAATTTATAATGTGGGGGGGAGGTGGTTGAAGTAATTATGCATATGTAATAATATTATCTCCATTCAACTCAAACTTACGTATTGTAGATATAATTTACTTTGCAAATATAACGACACATCGTATATTTTGATTTAATCGGCTAAGGTACTTACGTTTACACTCGTTGGGATCGCGAACAGTGGCCCTAGCCCAGGGCCTGTCGAAATGGAATGGCTTGCATCGGTCGCAGTCTCGTCCAGCTGTATTGTGCTTGCAATCGCATACCAGCGATCCTCCGGGACCTGACGGTATGCACTTGGACGCGTGTCCATTGCACTTGCACCGGCCACCCACCGACAGGTCGGACACGGCATAATGGTACGTGCGGCCTGACGACGGCGACGCGGTGGTCACCGGAACGACGACAGTGGTTTTCTCGGGTTCGTGTCCCTGCAACTCTTGGTCCGGGTTCAACATGAGCAAATCAGCACCCGTCTTGTTCCCATTGAGTGGTTCGTCCGAATCTGACTTTGGATCTGCCCCGGCGGCAAAAAGGCTGGTGGCCGTGCTGGTAGTGGTGCTGGCGGTGCTGCTGGCGGTGGTCGCTGCAGCGCTGGCGGATGAGTCCGGAGGCGCGGACGGGAAGTGCAACCGGTTGAATATTATTTTCACGTCAGTGGCCGTCACCCAGTCCTGGAGTACTGGGCTGTTGTCGAAGTCGATGGCGCTTGGCCGGCCTTCCAACGTGCTGAACGCGACTCGGGATGCCGACGACCCGGCCCCGTTGAATCGGTGCGAATCCGTGCATAGAGCCTCTTGCTCGTTGGCCTTGGTGATTATGGCCCGGTTGGGCCGGCCGTACACCTTGCGACACTGTCCCGAGTAGAACTGGAACGGTTGCCACGTTTTTCCGTAGTCCATACTCTTGTATACTGCTATAGAATCCGGTTTGGCGGCCTTTGGACAGAACTGAAGGTTGATGTACGTGAGCTCGTACTTTTTTCCCAGCGACAGCGTCAGCGTCACGTTATCGGGCGGCGGTAGTGCCGATGCCGGATCCACCGGTTGCGCAGACAGTGTCTCGGACCTCCAGCACGTGGCGTTGTACGGGTTGTTCGGGTCGGTCAGGTAGGCGGCCGGATGACGGCGTTTGGGCTGCGTGTCGTCGCACGTGTGGCAGACACCCTGGGACGTGGGACCCAACTCGCAGTACCGCTCGGGGCCACCAACGCCACACGTGCTGGTCGACTCCACGTGACCGCCGTACGCAGCGTTGACAAAGTCAGGAACGCACCGACGCGCCCGGTCGCCGTCGTAGCACGGGTCGGCCGTGTCCGACTGATCGGCGTCGGCGGGCGCCCACGAAAATACCGCGAAAGTCACTACGACGACAACGCACACCGTGACGGCGTGGACGTTATTGCGGTGTACCATCGCGATCCGATTTTTTCTTTTCTCGTCAAAAAACGCTCGTCGCGTATATACAATTAATGTATCAAATATAACGAATGCTACGTGAATTCAGCGAGACGTCCGAAAAGCAAAGGCCATTTAACCGATGTATCGTTATTATTATTGTACTGTCGCGGTATTATAATATATTTTACGTATTTTTACTCGCAGTTGGCCGGACGCCAGGCGTACATTCCCCCCCGCGCACGGGGTGGCCGCGGTAGGTATAAGTAAGTATTATATGTATATATATATATGTGTGTATTATAATATATAGTTAATCATACGTATATATATATATACGTAATATTACGAACAAGCGGCTGCGGCGGTATAAATCGCGATACACACACTCGAAACACTGTTGTACGCACGCACATGCACTGCGGTATAGCGGGCGGCCGTTATGCTTGTTCTCGTTGCGTGCGCGGACCACGACGGTGATACACGGGACCGGAGACTGACTGACTGCCGCGATCTCGGGCGGCAGACACGGTGCCGCGCGTCTAGCGCGCACGGCCGGGGCGGAGCGGGTCTCGTGCGCTCCAATCGGGTGGAAAATGGTCCGCCGCGGACGGCCGGATAGTGGGGCTGCCGCCGGCCGGTCGCGCGGCCCGCGGGAGAGGTGAAATTGGCAATCGGGCAAATCTGCTATGCAGTTATACCTTCTTCTGCTTTTGATTCTGCCTCTGCCTATATGTGTTCATGCCACTTCTTTTTCTTCTTCTTCGTCTTCTTCTTCTTCTTCGCTTCTTTAAGACGTGTGTAACATCATCATGAGATGTATGTTTATGTAGTGTGCTCATGCTCAATGGTATATAGCTCCTTGGTTAAAAATCAACATAAGTAAGGTAATTGCGGTAGTATATAGATGGTAGTAATAGCCAATAAGTACTTAATAATAATATTACGATCGTAATAATGCGCTGTAGGTATATCATATCATAGATGCACTCTATATTTACTTCTGACTTCCCTCATCTCCACTCCCCGCGCTTCATTAATTATAATAAATTACATGGTACTTATTCTGAAATGGGATTACCTTACGTAACCATTAACCAAGGAGTAAGACGAGTAAAGTCCAACACCAACAAGTGTGTTACAAATATGATAATATTGTATCGTGTCATCATCTATCCCACTACTAGCCCTGACCTGGAAGAGTGACCCGAAGTTCAAAGAATGTCTGACTTTTATGCATGCATTGGTGCATTCATGAATAGTGTATATAATAATTTAAGTAAATATTTTGTGGTATTAATGCATGATATTATTATCGATTCAATATTTAAGACATTTATAGAATCTACTTTATACAGAATAATAGAAAAACTGGCAAATATATTATTATGACGGATGTACAACATTACAGCGGTTCACTCAGTCTAAATTAAAAAATCAAAGTTTTAGTATCAATCTATATAACTATTTTTTGATACGTTGTTACTTTATTAGAATATCTTGTATTATTCACTTTTATTAAAAATAACTTTAATGGTATTTTTACATATTTTTACAAGTGGTTTATGTTTTGTGTTTAACAAACAAATTTGTTTAATGAAAATTTGAAAGTTACGCATTGTTAAAATGTGAGTACATACACCGATTTTACATAATGTCATTATTCGATTGTCTTTAAAGTAATTTAAAATAGTTGTCAGAAGTATAATTTGTGCAGAAGTTTCTTATTTGTTGTCAAACAATAACAATGGTTTGAAACTGTGACCAAGTGGCAACAAATTATAATATGTAGATTATAGCTGTAAATATATAAATGTGATTTAAAACAACCGCTAAGCTTTTAATAATTTAATCCTTGAGTCTTTACTTTTGGTTGTTATATAGTTTTAATTGTTTTGGCAGAGATATCGTGTTTATTGTTTGGAATATTACAATATTTGTAATATTATACATTCATGATTTATATTTTATAGTTATTAATCTCTATTAATCTGATACCTATATGTATATGTGTCTATCGGGATAATTGATTTTATATTATTTATTAATACATTCGTCTTGCATGTTAAATTGAGTTCTAACATAAATATATTATATTATCATCAGATACTTCTGATAACTCAGAATAACAGGATATTTCGTTACATTTATTAAAAACAAAACTTATTTAATAAACAGATGTAAAATCTGGATCGAATAAAATTACTTCTCGTGTACTTGCGAATGGAATAAAAGTTAGATGTGCAAAATATTTTTACCAACTCTACCTTGAGACTCGTGTCGAAAACCACTTTTGGATTCGACTCGAAACTAACCTTACTTATAACGGTCACTGACTTGTAGTTTACTTACAAGTTTAAGTAGGTAATTTTATTGTTTTGGAAAATAAAATGTATACTTAATATACTTAATATGTATACTTAAATATGGTATGATTCAGTTCAAAAATTATTGCGTACGTTGGGGAACTGAATTTTCTGAAAGTATACGAAATACGGTGTTGCAGCAGCGGCAGGGCATTACCATAACAATCACTGGTAATTTTACCTGGTCCAAGCTTGGAACAACGACTTCACCGACGACTAATGTTCCGAAAACATTTATTTAAATAAGACGCTGTGCATGGTATGCAGACATGCAGTTCATAGAGACTCCTAATCGAGACATCCAATGATAGGTACAGACTAAACTATAGAACCTACTGATGACAGTGTTCGGAACGTTCACTAAAAAATGCATTAGTTCATGTTCACGATCAGTCCTTTAAAACAAACTAGTTCACGTTCGTGTTCGTTAAAAAAAAAGAATGCGTTCACTGGGTCGTTCATTTAAATTTTTTTATAGTATGAATTATAATAAGAAAATATTATTATTATTATTATTATATAATATAATATAATTAATCAATATATTTTAAACATATATTTGTTGAATGGTAAAGGGATTGTATGTCTTAAAAATCGTTCAAATTCATTAAAATATAAACGCTGTTCACGCTTACATTCAATTTGAAAGATACGACTCACATTCGAGTTTCACTCTCAAAATATGAACGTGAACGTGTGAACGTGCGTTCATGAACGAAGTTCTTTCCAAACACTGACTGATGACCATATAATATGGATAAGTCGTCTCCGATACAATAAAATAATAAATAGACAGTAATTATTATGATAATAAAGTGACACGCCAATCACCATCAATAGGTACATTTCAAATCGTAGTTTTTTAGTATACAATATGGTTTGTGAGATGTTAAGATGACAAACATAAATCCTATAATAAACAGTTGGGTTTGAAACAAATTTTAACAATAGAAACAAAAACGTATAATCTCCAATAAGTATATTTAGTACTAATAGGTATAAGTACCTATAAGTACCTATTAAAGTTCTTAAGTACCCATACCTACTCTCTAAAAGTATTTAAAATTTAAGTAAATATGTTATATGAATACCAGTTGGTAATAATTCACACCACATAAAAAATATGAAAAAGATTAAACTTGCATATATTATACTTCTGACCGCTACATATTTGTAATTTTTTGTACAAGTTACAAATTAATACATTTTAGGAAATTTATTACTTTAAGGGCACAATGTATGTGTGTAAAAAAAAGTGAAATAAATTAAAATAAATTATATTTTTAAAAGTTAAAAAACAAATTAATAATAATGACATAGACTCGTGGTCATAACATCAAATTCGATAAGTACCTACTAATTTTTAAGTTTAAACTATGATTTTAAGAATATAAAAAAAACAAATAAACTAATTAGGAACTATTAAAACTAGTGGTCACCGAATAATTAGATATAATTTTAAGTGGAATCTTCTAATGACACTTTTTCATTCTAGCAGACCACTGTTACTTCAATACTAATATCGTAATTTACTACCTATATCTATGTGTGCATAGCTTCCATGGTAGTATATTATAATAGTTACCTAATTTTTACTAATATTTAGAAAGTATCAAACGATTTAGATAAATTATGTTGGTGTATACTATTATACTACAAAGTGATTTTATAAAAAAAAAACACTTATTAGTGAAATACAATTTTTTTATTTAATGCATTTTCACTTCTTAACATTTTTATATATAAATATAATAAAACTATAGCGTATATCTAAATGTTTAAACGTTATATAAAAATTATTTTTAAATAGACGTAATTATAAGTAAGCTTTGTATATAAGCTAAGAACATCAGACATTATATTATGCACCTACGTACTTGTATTATAAGCAATGTATGAATAAACATATAGTATCCAAAACTATAGGTCTATAAGAAATATATGCATATGATATTGTACTCGTATCCATATAGGTACCTCCCCAAGTTGTGTCATTTACAGGATACAAGAGTAAGCAAAGGAAATATAACGAGATTAGGATTTAGGAACATGAGTAATACAACGGTCAGACTAATAATTAAAGGTGTAGTGCATCAATTATTGTTTATATTATATTATTTTATAACGTAAAACTTAATAGGTATAAGTTATAAAAATTACATACATATACAATTATTATTACATACAACAATCAACAAGTTCGTAAGACTAACCATGTGAGTATGTGACCTAATTGACATTACAAATAAATGAGTAAATGACAATCTTTTATTATACGACAAATAAAGAAAAATATTTATACAATTTATGAGTCGGTACTGTTATTTTGGTGACTTAATAGTTTAAAATGTAGTAAACTATGATGTAACATTAAAATAACTTTAAAAAATGTAACGCTCAATAGTTATCAAATATTTTGTAATACACAAACAAATTAATCATTAATTTTGTAAACCATCTATTGCTCTAAATAAATATAAAAATAAACACCTATTATATGTCAGAGTTATGTCACATATACATAATACATATTATATAAAGATTATAGAGTTTACCTATAGGTATAATATTATACGACGAAAACGCCGAATCGTTTACTGTTTAAAACAACTAAATGTGTGTTACTTAATAAAGTAACACATATTTTATTTTTATTTAACAAGATGTTTTTTTTTGTTTCCTGCGGAATTGATATTACTGTTGATTCAAACGTAATCGCCATAATTCTATGATAAACAGGTATTTAAAATCCATCCTAAACCTTAACATTATTAATAATTATTAAAAATTTCACTAATTTACAACTTCTTTCCACAAATATGAATGCGGCATGTTGACATATTGCCATTAAAAATGACAATATAAAAATTTCTGAAACTTAGTAACTATTGTTAATTATAATGACTAATAATTAGGGCTGTGAATTTAATGCACTAAAGAACCTTAAAAATGTATTAAAAATGTAAAAAAAACGCAATAAAATATGCACTTAAAATGCAAAAAATGCAATATAAAATGCCAGAAATTATAGTATAAAATTAATTTAAAATAGTCTTTAATTTAATTTTTTTATTTATATTAATATTAGGTACCTACAAGATATCATACATTAGTACATTACATCATGCATAAAAAAGTG